TGGTGTCGCCGATTCCGTTGTTTCCATACGCGGAGGTTTTTTTGTTGTACCAGTTTTTTTATCCCTTTTTTTTTTTCTTAGGTTTCTTGTTGGGGGGGTTTTCGGGGGGGGGTTTATTTTTGGTGACAGGGTTCACTTTTGTCAATTTATTGGCATCGCAGGGTTCCATGGCTTTGGGGGTGAAGGCGGTGTTTTTTCACACGCGCTTTACAACAAACTTACCCATGGTGGGCACCTCGGGGTTGGGGGGGGGGGGGGGAGGTAGTAGGTGTTGTGTTGTTGTTGTTGCTGTTGTTGTTGCTGCGTCACAAGAAACATACCCATGGTGAGAGAGAGACACAAGGGAGAGGGGGGGGGCGAGGTAGTAGGTGTTGTGTTGTTGTTGCTGTTGTTGCTTTTGTTGTTGCTGCGTCACAAGAAACATACCCATGGTGAGAGAGACACACAGGGGAGAGGGGGGGGAGGGAGGTATTGTGTTGTTGCTGTTGTTGTTGCTGCATCACAAGATACATGCCCATGGTGAGAGAGAGACACGGAGAGGGGGAGGGAGATAGGCATTGTGTTGTTGTTGCTGTTGTTGCTACTGCATGCTGCATCATAAGATACATGCCCGAGTTGAAGAGAGACACAGAGAGGGGGAGGGAGATAGGTATCGTGTTGTTGTTGCTGCGTCACAAGAAACATGCCCGTGGCGAAGAGAGACACCGGGAGAAGGAGAACAAGTATTAAATCTTTTGTTAGTGCGGTCGAGAGTCGGCAAAGGCGGAGATGAAGGAGTAGATGGGGGCTGCAGGACGTGGCTCTTGTACTCGCTGTGGACGTGTGTGCACGAGAGACAACGAGGAAAAGAAGATCGCCACCGTTTTCGTTTTTTTTGCCGTCCATCTTTGCCAGGGTATGGCGTGTAGTCAGCACTTGGCTTCGTTGGTGCCTTTGCCCCCCTTGCTATCGATACTGTTGCGGGGATGATTATTTTGTTGTTGTGGCGATTGGTTGTTGTTTTTTCATTTTCAAGACGTCGGTCCCAAGACAATTGCTCAAAATGTTGTGTTGCTGTTGGTGTTCAAGTCGTTGTTAAAGACATTTGCTCAAGATGTTGCTGCTGCTGCTGCTGCTGCTGCTGCTGATCCTTCGTTGTTGTTGGCGCTGCTGCTGCTGTTTCTGCTGTTAATTCTGTCCAGGCGTTTCCGTTCGCGTCCGCGGCGATGGACACGGTGACCGAAAGCAAGATGGCCATCGCGATGGCGCTGCAGGGGTGCATCGGCGTCCTTCACGGCAACTGCCCGTGAGTAGACAGAGGCCTACCCACCTGCAGGGGGGGTAGATAGCAAGCAGGATTCGGCACCATCGTGCCTGCGTGACTTAGCAGCGAGACGCAACAAAACCTGCAGGGAGGGGTAGTGAGCAGCGAGACGGCAAACAGCCGTGCCCGTGTAGCCCAGCAGCAAGGACAAAGCGGGATCGAACCAAATGTTGCGGAGAAGTGCTGTGCTGGCTTGTGTCTTCGGTGTCTTTCGGGTAATCGTTGTTGTGTTTGTTGTGCAACGTGGTGGGACAGGGTAGTGCCGATCTCAAGTCACAGCTAGAGGTCGCTCTCGCTGCAAACCGCAACGTGGCATCATCAATAGTAAATAGATGCCGTCACAGGTATCGCTGCTGTTTTGATGCGATAGTGGAGTTTGGCATCCGTTAGTTATCGAAAAGACTGATGATAAACGACAGACGATTGCATTTTTTTTTATGTTGATGGAATGATACTTGCATGTTTCGCAATTCTTGGTTAGCTGCATCAAATGTCGAGAGAGGGCGGAGACGGAGCGTTATGATGGTCGAATTGCCATTAGTGTCCCCCCCGTCGGGACGCGCGTGTTTCGCCAAAAATAGCGTGTCTTTATTGTTTTGCATCGACCGCGCTAACGGGCTGACTACGGAAAAGACGACAATCTCAGTGCGGCTGAAGACCGAAGAATGCTTCTAACGGCCATGATCTGGTGTGTGTGTGTTTGCCGTATCCCTGCTCAGGCCCCTAGAGCAAGTGAAGCTGGTGCAAAGGGTGAAGGGCTACGAGAACGGTTTCATCTCTAACCCGGCGGTGATGTCCCCGACGTGCACCGTGGCCGACCTGGACGACCTCAAGGCGGAGAGAAACATCTCGGGTACGTCCGTCCTTGTTGTCGTCGTCGTCGTTGTTGTTGTTGATATTGTTGTCGTCGTCGTTGATACTGTTGTCGTTGTCGTCGATATTGTTGTTGTTGTCGTTGATATTGTTGTTGTTGTCGTTGATATTGTTGTCGTTGTCGTCGATATTGTTGTTGTTGTCTTTGATATTGTTGTCGTTGTCGTCGACATTGTTGTCGTTGTCGTCGACATTGTTACTGTTGTCGTTGATACTGTTGTCGTTGATATTGTTGTCGTTGTCGTCGATATTGTTGTTGTTGTCTTTGATATTGTTGTCGTTGTCGTCGACATTGTTGTCGTTGTCGTCGACATTGTTACTGTTGTCGTTGATATTGGTACTGTTGTCGTTGTGTTGTTGTGGTTGTTGTCATCGTTGATGTGCATGCGTTTTTTTCTGAGTTTGGCGCCCACCATCTACGATTCCGTCTGGCCAGGCGCCGCTTGCAGAAAGGTCGGGTACGTTCGTTGTTGCCAAATATATTGGTAAGTTGGTACGTTGTTACGGCTGAAGGATGTCTTCCCTGACGTTCGTTTTCAATGACGACCCGCTTGGTGAAGCAGAGACGGCCTTGCGTTTGATGGCTCCATGAATTTGTCCTTACTTTTCGGGTGGATCTGACCTGATGTAGACTAGTTGTAGTCCGTGACATTGACTCGACAACCTATTGCCGCCGCGACCGCTGCCGCTGTTGCTGCCTCTGCTGCGGCTGTTGCTGCTGCTACTCGTGCTGCTGTCGCTGCTGTGCTGGTCAGGGGTGCCCATCACCGAGGACGGGTCGATAGGGTCTAAGCTGGTCGGTCTGTGCACAAAGAGAGATCTGGACCTTGTTGACGAGAGGCACGAGCCGCTGTCGGAGCACATGACGCCTGTAGATGATCTGATCTTGGGGAGGGAGGGGTGTTCCCTGGAGGAGGCGCAGGAGATCATCAAGGTTTCCAAGAAGGGTGAGGACAGAGACAGCTAGAGAGAGAGAGAGACAAGGCACACACGCAGACAGAGAGAGACAGACAGACAGACACACATTGAGAGAGAGAGATACACACATACACACACAGAGAGAGAGAGAGAGAGAGAGAGAGAGAGAGAGAGAGAGAGAGAGAGAGAGGACATCGACAGACACAGAGACAGAGACAGAGAGACAGAGATGGATATCGGGAAGACATAGACATAGAGACAGACAGACAAGACAGGCAGAGAGACAGAGGTAGACACGGCGAGAGGGAGAGGCGCCGGTCACGCCAGAGTAGGTTGCTGTTTTGGAAGCATTTGTCTCACATTTTTAAGCGCGTGCTTCGTCGAGAGGGGGGGGCAATAGACGACGGAGCGGCGAAATGAGGCAATTTTTTTTCTCCATTGTAGAATATTTTTGGCTGCGTTTTTTGTTCGTGTCGGCGATGTATGATGCTTTGTTTTCATGTCGGCTGTGGGGGTAGGACGATGCTCCTGAATTTCGAAGACAGTGAGTCTAACTTACCCAGCCCGCCCTTTCTGCCCCAGCAGTTGAGTGTATGACCGCCCCCCCGCCTCGCAGCAATCAAGTACCACGCACAGTAGAGGTCCCTGTATAGCGCCGGTATGTGCCCAGAAAATTCACGGGCACTAAACCGGACGGGCACTGTTCATAGCACTGACAATGACTTGGAAATTCAGTGTGTATGCCGGCCGGAAGCACTGGCACTAAACCGGGCACCGGTAAACCGGCCCTAAACAGAGACCTCTACTGTATATTTACCCCCCCATACCACCCTCCCTCACGCTTATACCCCGCCCGTGCCGCTCTCTCTCTAGGCTACCTGCCAATCGTGGACGCCGAGGGAAACCTCTGCGCCTTGACCACCCGCACCGACCTCCTCAAGACGAGGGACTTCCCCCACAGCACCAAGGACCCGCTCACCGGCAAACTGAGAGTTGCTGCCGCTGTAGGAGCGGGCCCGGACGACCGGGTGAGCGAGGAACACCGGAGGGGGGGGGGGGGGGGGCACCGCCTTGCTCAGGCTGACGTGTTGGCAGTGGACATTGCGTGAAGTTTCGTTACGGGGGGAGGGTTTGCCTGTCTGCGGACACCAACGGGGGGGCCCGTGGGTGGGAACGGAGGGTCACTCTTGGTTGTTCTTGTGGTGTTCGGGACGGCGTCTGCTGGGGGTGGGGGAGGTTTGCAGTGTTTGGTCGTGGTTGTTTAGGGGGGGTGTACTCATAGCCGTGCTTGCCGTAGTCGTTTGACCATTGACCTCGCATCCCCACAAAGCCGGGACGAAGCACGCCGGGTTCTCACCGGACCAGGCTCTTACGTCGCCAAGCGCGAAGGGCCATGGGGGGGGAGGGGGCAAGGTTTTTAAGGCTTTGCTTTTGTGCGGTACAGGGATTCTGGTTTGGTTTTTTTGTAGCCATTGTACCCCTGGAGGATTAATGTTGCGGTGGCTCCTGCGATCATGCTCGGTCGAGTATGCGCGCTACATATCGTTTCCTGTGAGGAACGAAGGCCTGTTGCTTTTCTCTGAAGTGTGTTCCCCCTCCCGCAACAGGACCGCATCGCGATGCTTGTGGAGGCCGGGGTGGACGTGCTGGTAATCGACGAGAGGAACGGAGATACTACGGAACAGATTGATCAGGTTGGCCCACACTCTGACAAGCAACTAACGTAGGGGAAGTGCTGACCAACGAGAGACATACAGAGAGATGACAGGCTGAGGAAGACAGAGAGGAAGGCGGAGAGAGCGACATGGTCAAGGGAACAAGACCTGTAGTTTTTCTTCTTTCTCGATACGCAATAATTGATTCTCGGATGTCGTCCCCACTCCCCCCCCCCCAAAACAAGGAAAAAGACACGCTCACGCACACATATTTCCATTGGTCAGCCGGTTAGCGCTGTCGATGCTAACAGCAGGGAAGACACACACATAAATTCGCATTCGACTCTAGGTGCATTTTTCGAATATTAGCCCCCTTCCAGGGGCCTCGATTTTTTCCCGCTGGCACCGACATTTTTTCATCGGTAAACCGGTCCGAGCGGTCGATGCTATTAGTGAAGACACGCACGGACACAGATTATGGTAGCCTTTAGAATTAATTTTCTGTTTTTGGCGTGCACTGAGACTACCGCGCGTTCAACTGGTCAGCCGGTTAGCGCCGTCGATTCTAACATATTTATCACACACTGCTGTTTGAATTTGGCTTGGCTTGGCAGGTTCGTCACATCAAGGCCAAGTACCCCAAGGTGGACGTGATCGGCGGGAACGTGGTTACCCGCAGCCAGGCGTTAGCTCTGCTCGACGCTGGTGTGGACGCTGTTCGCGTGGGCATGGGCGCGGGTTCCGTGTCGACAACACAGCAGGTAGTGTGCTTCACAATGTACGGTGTGCTGCACACGGCTGTACCATTTACAGTATTATAGTACTTGGTGCCTGTGTTTGCGCCCTCTTGTTCCTGTTCTTTTTCTTGACTGCGGACATTAGCTGGTGGGCATGGCAGCAAGCCCCGGGTATCCTCTGAATAGCTTACCCGTCTACGTCGTATCTATGTCCCACCCTCCTGTTGTCCTTTAGTTGTGGACACGGCAGTCACCCCTGGTATTCTCGGAACAGCGGTCCCGCCTACTCCTCGTTGTATGGGGCACTCCCATCGTTCTTTTTTTTCTTTTTTCTTTTTCTCACAAGCTGTGGGCAAGGCAGTAACTCCCTCCCCCCTCCCCTCGCTTTCACTGGTCATTAGTCTTAACAATTAAGACGTGCAAGACATGAGTACGCCCCCCCCTCCCCCCTACTTTCTGCGTCGCCCCCCGCCCGCAGGTACGAGCGGTCGGGCGAGCCCAGATCTCGTCGGTGTACCACGTGAGCCCCCTATCCCCCCCCAAAAAAAAAAATATTCAACATTTATTTTCTGCGTCTCCCCCGCCCCTCCCGCCCGCAGGTACGAGCCGTCGGGCGAGCCCAGATCTCGGCGGTGTACCACGTGAGCAAGCTGGCGCGCGCGTACGGAGTCCCGGTCATCGCGGACGGAGGGATCATGAACACGGGGTGCGGGATCAAGGCGCTGGGCATGGGCGCGAGCGTGCTGATGATGGGATCCCTCCTGGCCGGGACGGAGGAGGCCCCCGGGGAGTACTTCTATCAGCAGGGCATGCGGCTCAAGCACTACCACGTGAGCTGGTGTTGGCCTGTTTTTTTTTTTTTTTTCCTGATAGATGACGCAACGAATCCATCTCTTCTTATCCGTAGAAAAGAGATAGACTAGGTTTGAATTCATTGCGTCTGAAAGTTTGAAGTAGTTTTCTTGGCAGGGCACGCGCCTCAAGCACTACCACGTGAGGTGGTTGTTGGCCTTGTTTTTTAGTGTTGTTGGCAGGGCGCGCGGCTCCAAGCACTGCCACGTGAGCCTCGCCTTTTTTGTTTTTAGTTGGCATCGCGGTCGGCCGAGATTTTTTTCGTGCAGACGAAAAAGTGGAAGCGCGCCAGGTGTTCTCGTCTGTGTAATTTTCTCTCTCGGCATTGGTAGCGCTTTTTATCGTGTGTTTGTTTTTTCGTGCTCTGTCTCGTTTCTTTTGTGTCGTCTTGCCCGTTGTTACTTGTTGTCTTTGCAAATAACATGGTACGTTCTGGCTGTTCGCTCTCGGGTCTTGTTTTGTTTCGTGGGGACTGAAGTATCCGGGGGTTTGGGACATCGTTCATTTTTGTTACTTGTGGTGGCTCTGGGCCTTTTTTTTCGCGTCCTTTTTTTGTGTGTTTTCTGTCGCGTTGTTGCTTGTCCCCGTTGTTATTTTTCGTCCGTGCAGCTACATATGTTCTGGCTGTTCTCTCTCGGGCGTTGTTTGTGTTTAGTGGGGATTTTTTTTTTTTCCTGGAGGTTTAGTTTTGTGACTTGTATCTGACTCCATTTAGATGGGCCAGCAGGAAGAGACGACACCTCCGAGAGGGGGCACCGTAACTCACCAGGCCCAAGCACACCAAGAAGCTCCATACATCACGAAAAGCAGCAGCAGCAGCAACAGCAGCAGCAGCAGCAGCAGCAGCAGCGGCAACAGCCTCGAAATCTCGACAACAGCACACCACTTTTGTACAGGCGGTGACGCCTATTATATGTATAGTAGAGGTAGGGAGGTAACCCACAATGCGAACAGAACGGCGACACAGCACACACCGCCACCCCCAGCCACAGCCTCCCTTTCCCCGCTACCACGCCGACAATTCGCCCAACCGCTGCTGCTGTTTTTTGGTTGATCGCGCGGCAGGCCTTGACCAGCGTCGAGTCCCAGCAGAACGCTCGCGCTCGCGACGCAGCCATGGCCGCGGCGAAGGGAACGTCGGGGGTTAGCGGTGTGGTGGTGGACCGGGGAAGCCTGCACAGATTCGTGCCCTACATGGCGCAGTCCGTCAGGCACGGCTTCCAGGTGAATGCTCTCGAGGGGGGGGGGGGGGGGAGGGGGGGGTCCGTCGGAGGCGCTCGACGGTTGACCAATGAATTGAGGGGGGCGTACCTCATGTAGGCACATGCCGTAGGCGTTAGACCGTTGACGTCGCATCCGTACAATGCCGGGACGGAGCGGGTTGCCGGGTTTTTGCCGTCCCAGGCTACGTTACGGTTCACAAGGATGAAGCAGTTACCCTTGCGTTTGCTATGCCAAGACAGATGGATTGATTGGGCTGGGGGGGCGTGCTCATGTTTTGCTTTCCTTAGCTGTTAGACCATTGACCGCGGGCCTTCGAGAGGGAACGTTGTTCCTACCGGGGGGGTGTTGCGGGTGTACCCATGTTTTGAATGCCTTAGCGGTTAGACCATTGACCGTGCGTCCTCGAGAAGACGGCGGAGCGTTGTTCCCACAGCAACGATTACCGACGGGCAACCGTTCGGGTTGTTATTTGTTTCTCTTTGGTTTTTCGTCATGAGTGCCCTTCTCGGGGGGTAGTTAGCCTTTGCGCACGGAAGCCGCCCGCGCCAGTTAGACCAACCAGTACGGATGTTGGGAGGTGCTGAGCAGAGGCCGGCACGTTTATATCGTCAAGACAAGAGCCAGCTACAACAAAAACGCGCACCCGCATCGCCCCTACATATCGCTCCGAGGGTCCCGGCATTGTAGGAATGCGACGTCAGTGGTGTAGCGGCATGCGTTTACATGAGCACACCCGCGAAAAACGGCATTGATGGCCTACCGACTAACGGCATGCGTTTTACGTGAGTGCATCCCCTGATACGACATTGATGGCCTACCGACTCACGGCGTGCGCTCACACGAGTACACCCCCTCATCGTATTGTACCCCCCCGTATTTCAGGACATGGGAGTCAAGTCTCTCGCGGACCTTCACGCCGAGGTGTACGAAGGGACGATCCGGTTCGAGATCCGCTCGCCGTCGGCCCAGAAGGAAGGCGGGGTACACGACCTGCACTCGTACTCGCGCAAGCTCTACGCGTGAAGGGTCCTAGTAGGCTAGGCTCGATGTTCTACGCTTGAAGGGAAATTCGGGCGGTTTTAGGCTTGAGGCTCTTCGCTTGAAGAGGTCTCTAGGGTAGGCTCGAAGCTCCACGCTTGAAGAGAAATCGGTCGGTGGCTAGACTTCAGGCTCTCCGCTTGTGAAGAGAATTCGAGCGGTCTAGGCTAACGCTCCGAGCTATAGGGTTGGAAGAGAGGTGGGGGTGTCTAGGCTAGGCTAGAAGTGAAGCCGGGCGGTCTAACCTTAAGAATACGGCGGCTGTTCGGCGGCGTGTTATGGCGAGATGCTGATGATGCGGTCCAGTGGTCTAGGCTTAAATAGTCGGTCGGTCTACCCTCGACGAAGTCGGCTGTTTGACGGCGTTTCGTGGCTAGATGCTGATGGTGGCGAAGGCGAGATGGTGGCGGTGGTGGCGGTGGCTGGTTGCGTAAGCGTGCCCGAACGTGTCGCGATGGAGAATTGGTGGCCGCCGTTGTTCACTTTTGCTAACGTGTGGCCCTTGACCGTCGTCGTAGTGTGCGCTCGAGCTCGACGGCACTAGATAGAAGTGGCTTGACTTGCGGCGGTGTTCGTAGTGCAAAATGCTGCCGGTGGCAGTTGAATAACGCTGCCTTTTTTGCGAGATTAGGCCGTGCGCAACCCTGCGAAAGCGAGAGGCCTAAGCTCTGTCGTGAACGCGCGCCCTGCGTCGTACGGCATTCCGTAGCCGTCCGCCGATCTGGTGAAGGCGATGCGCGCTCTGTGTTTGCGGGTGTTGTATGTACGCATACGGCCGTTTTCGCGCAGTCATGGACGGCTCTCTTGGGGCGCGGTCGGTCATGGCTCACGTTGGTGGTGCATGATGTGGGCGTGCTAAATGAGACTTTCTGTGTTTGTATGTACGATGGCAGAATGTTGGTGCAGTGTTGGCCGACCGCTTTTCACAGCGTGGAACCTATATTGGATTGGCAGTGTCGGATAGTTTTTTCTCACGCAATCCTTACTTTGTGAACCTGCTGTTGATTTCCGTAGCGTTGCATATGCGTACTACGTACACGCCCGATTTTCAACGGGCAGAATCACAGTTTTGCCAGAATCTGCAGCAGCAGTACTGGGATCGCTGCGCTTCCAGTGTGTATTTGCGAGTGAAAATCTGCGGCGCGATCTTGTGGTTCCGGACGCATAACGCTCGTAGATGCTCCTGGCGGGGTGCTATCAGCCTGGCGATTTGATGGTCCGACAGCAGCTGTCTCCATTTCCCCCCCCTGTCCATTGGCGTTGATGTCACCGGAAGCACTCAAGCAACATGTGATAAATGTTGTCGCGGTACTGAAGTTGTTTTCCTTCCTGAGCTCGAATGCATTACCGATCCGTCAGTGACGCTAGTCCGTCAATCACGAACTGGAGAACTGCTGTGATTCGCACACAGTTGACTGTGGGCAATCATTTCGGCAAGTCTTCCAGAGCGCGAAAAGACCGGAACTATCTGTCTGTGTAGACGATTGCATGATTCCTGCCTGGGTTGGAGGACCATACAATGTGCAGGCAGTACTTCTGAGTGCTTTCCTTTGAAACACCGTCACCGCAGCATACATCATGCATACTTGCCCGTCTTTCTGCTCTGTGGACAAAACACACATTGGAATATATCAACGGAACTAGTATAGCAAGAGGGTACAGATGAGCCTACCAAGAAAAGTTTGCAGATACAATGTAGACATGTATTTTTTGGAAAATATACATACAATCAAAGAAGACCGCCCCTTCGAGAAAATATCAAAGTCGAGAAGGGGATAAAAGGGGATGATGTGTTGAAGTCCTTACACAGTAGTGAGATTCTCGGGCACCGAAGAAGCAGTCATGGAAAAAAACAATCAACCATCAAGGGTCTCCCACGCGAAATCCGGCGGTCCTCGTCGACCCTGGACAATCACAAAATCACGAAAGTGGCATGTGTGGGCAGTGCGCAGCGGATCCGCTCATGTGTGTGGGCAGTGGGCCGCGGATCCGCGTTCCGCTTTCCGCGTTCCGCGTTCCACACATCACGCGCACAAGAAACGCGGAGGTTTCTTTGTCGAACCGGAACGTATTTCGTCGAACCGTAACATATTCCACCGCGAGTAGACTCGCGCGCGCGCTTTGTGTGCATGAATCATCCCTTCTTTTGTATACGAGATGTCCAACGGATAATCAAACGAACGAATCAAAACTCCATCCGTTTCCCGAATCGCGTGCTCATCTCATATCATATCTTCCTCCACATCCAACCTCAAACGCTGCTGCTGCTAGACAAGGAAACGTGCACACCCGACGACGCCCACGACTACTGCTGTACTTCCGACGATACATTTTATTGCCATGTGGTCCACGGTGCGAGTGGTGGTTGGGGTGTTCCTCGTCGTGGCGGTTCTCGGTGTCGCTGGAAGAGAAGCAGGGCCTTCGACTCGAAAGCTTCGGGCGGATCCACTCAGCGCTTTGGTAAGTTGTGTGGTGCCGTCGGCGTATACATGCACGCACGTCGTACCCGCCCGCTTGCGTGCGTACAGCTGCTGCTTTGGCTGGCGATTGCCGACACGACGTGGTTTGCAATAGGAACGTCTCGTCGGAAGGTGTTGCTGACTGTCTTTGTTCCATATACAACCAAGGCCTGTAATCTCTGTGTTTCTTTGGATCCATGGGGTCAAGGCCACACACTGCTGTGCCAACACTAAAGGAGCGGCGTCGCCTGTGTTTGCTGTAGACCTACAAGAACGTAGTTGGGGGCGGCGGTTGTGTTGTCTCCGACGGCAGCCCGATCGACGCTACATAGGTTGGCAGTGTAAGTGGTGGGTGTGGACCACATGGTACGTCAGCAAGATCCTCCTCATCGGGAACCAAAGCATAACTTGTGGTCGTCGCTCATCCGAACACTTCCTCCCTGACCAGACTCAGATCCTCTCGCGCACACATCAGCCCCGTATCCACTCAGAACAGTGCCAATGACGTCGAGGCGGGAGTATCCAATGGAGCATGGTTAGACTATCGCCGCACTACAGCACCGATTCTTGTGTAATGATGCCTAAACGGAAATTGCCGAAACAAGCTGACAGGCCTGCAGAAAAGTTTGCCGTGATTGCGCAGACCTAAGGAGCAAATTGTTCTGTCAGCACTCCGTCTCCCGTGTACATGTAGACTTGTCCCTTGTATGTGTGTTTTTAAGTATCGCATTGATGCCGGTCATAATGTGCAGTTAAATCGAACCTTGAGATATGGCAAGATTTTGCGAAGAACACCTTTTGGTGGTGGACAAGTAATGCATTCGACTTTATTGTGACATGCGATGGAACACGATGGTGCATCGAACACGTCCTCTTCCAAATCCGCAGATGTCCCATTCTGCACGACGGTATGTTTGCCTTGAACCTGGAGAGCAAGGCAACATGGTGATGGTGATAACCCTCCGGGCGCAGCCGGCCTTTGGCTGCATCTTCATCAGTACAATAATAAGTCCGTGTTCCTCGAAAACGAGACGCATAGCCAACGGTCAAACGAACTACTTAATGATTGCACGCAAAAAACAGAGTAACTCTCTTACCTATCCCGCCCCGCCCCGCTTCCAAAACCGGAAACTGAAAACATGCAAGGAGGACCACGATTTGATTGACCTACTGGAGATCCCGCTGGATGACGTCTTCCTCTTGCCAAAGACCTTGCCCCATGGCCATGCAGGCAGACGGCTTGTAGAGGAGAACAAGCAGAGGCACACAAACGCCAACAACCAAGACAGCAAGAAGCGGGAGAGAAAGCTTCAGGCATCCTCGCCGTCTCCATCGCTCGCTGTTCCTACCGGGGCTCCTACCGACGGTGCCTCCCGCGGCATCTCGTCGTCCTACTTCTCGTCCTCCGCACACTCGCCGTCGGCTACTCCCACGGCGTCTCCTACCATGGGTGCGTTGTTTCCATGCACGTATTGGGGTCCTTTGCGCACATCTCTGTTGTTGTTGTTGTTGTTGCTGTTGCGGTTGCTGTCGCTGTTGCTGTTGATGTTGATATTTTGGTATGGCGGCAATACCATGACAACGACACTCATGCGCTCTTCGCGCCGGGTTTGTTTGTCGTACCCGGGTTCGCACCTCAAGTCAAGCTTGACATGTGTTCCGCACACTCTTGTGTCGTCCGCAGCGCCCGTCGTAACTTGTCGTTCCACTAGCCTCTCACGATGTATTGTACCTCACCACCCCCGGGGGGTCATGAACAATTTCACCGTCAACATCTTCGATCCTCTTTGTTCAGTGACGAAATGCCAAACAATTTGAAACAAACCCACAACTGCTACGAAAAAAATTGCTAGCCATGGCGTATCGCCTGTACGCCGCAGCTTTGCTCACGACACCACTTGCTTGCGGCCCAAAAATGCCGTCTGATCTCCTGCTACCCTTATCCCATCCCTTGGTGCAAACGCTCGGCGTGGACAAAAAATATTTCCAGGGAGCGACAGTCGGGGGGGGCTCTTCGGAAGCATGGCACCCTCGGCCTCGCCAACTGCCGTGGATTCCGATTCCGGCCTCGATTTTGACGACGGTTTTGTGGACAACGTCCCCCGCCAGGCCGATTCCGCTCACAGGCGGGGCGGTGGCGGCGGCGGCTCTGCCGGGGTAGTGGTCGCGGCCGTGACGATGGCGGTAATTGCGTTCGGAAACTTGTTGCCATGAAGTTGTACGACAGCACTATGAGAATGAGAGAGAGAGACACACACACACAAAGAGACTGAGACAGAGAGAGAGAGAGAGAGAGAGACTGAGAGGGAGGCTGAGAGAGAGACAGAGAATTGACTGGTAGATTTGCCCGGGTGGGCTTGTGTTCTCGACACGACCAGGAGCCCCGGCTTTGCGCGTGGATTTTTTTGCGGGCAGGGGGTCGGTTGTCCGGGTGGGCTTGTTTTGTCGAAATGACCAAGAGTCCCCGGATCTGCACCGTGTTTATGGGTGGTTGTTGCTGTTGCGTTGTCGGTGAAGAAATTGATGACCGAGGGGTGATGCGGATGTCGGTGTACTGTAGCGTGGCGGCCCAGAGAGGCGAAAGATTTTGGGGGCCTCCGGAGAGGGGCGGGCGCGTGCTGTGTGGTCCGCGTCGAGAGACGGTGATGGTGCTGGTAGTAGCTGTTGTTCCCAACGAAGAGGAAACTGCCTCATCGTGCCCTCTGGCAGGCCGTACGGCTTCCAAGCTAGCCGAAACGGTTTTTCTTCGGCGTTTTTACAAGCACGCATGGTGATATGCCTTGATGTGACCTGTGTGTGGAAAGTCTTGGGGCCCTCAGGGACAAGGATGACCGGCCGCACTTTGTACAAAGACGACGACGCCATTTTAGCTGTGGCGAGGACGCGCGAAGGGCAACCAACGCGCTTTATTGTTTTACTTTTCGTTTTAGGGGATGCTTTTCGGCATCGACATTGACTGGCGAACGGTGCCGCTAGGTAGGTTCGATTGCAGAGGTAGGGGTAAACGCGGCAGTGGGGCTACTGGATTCCCACAAGAGTGAATAATGTTTTGGAGGAAGCGGGCTGGATAGCTGGAGGAGCGGCACAAGGTAGAAGCGTAGACAGACTCGGCGCTCTCGGTGTTTCGTCGCGTCTGGATCGCAAACCAATAGCTGAGCCCGATCGTTTTATATTTTTCGCTTGCCTTGGCTCGCTCTGTGGTTGTTACTATCTTGAGGCCTGTCGGTTGTTTTTCTACTCGTCGTTCATGTTTTTTTTTCTCGCGAAAATTTTGTTTTGATCTCCGGCTTGGTCTGAGTCTCCCAGCGTCGTGCCTTTGGTCTTCTTCCGACCTACTGTACCTGGCGCGTTCTCCATATCTCACACATTTTTTCACCAAACATTCTGGACACTCCTTGCCTTGTGGTGAATGTTTGTTCTTGGTGTATTCTAGCGGTGGCAGTGAAGAGTACTTTTCTTCCAAGGACCGTTTCTTGACACACGTCGATTTCGCGGGCGTCTTTCTTGTGAGTGACTGTCATGCTGAGGACCCGAATCAGTTCAGTGACACTCAACAGGTGCTGGTTCCCGTGGTCTTGGGTGTGCTGTGGTGTGTTTTGACAGTTGGGTGTTGGCGGGCGGGGGGGAGGGGTCCAGCGGGCATGCGAAAGTTAACGTTTGAGCCGAGGTGTATGTTCAATTGCGTTTGTTTTTTCTGCGATGATTTCGATCGCATTTTCTGCGCTTAGAACGTGTTTTGATGTTGTCGGCAGCCCGTGAGGTGTGTTCTGAACACTCTCTGTCGGCATTTATGTTGTGATCTTCAGTGTTTATTTGTTGTCGAAACCGAGGGTGATTGGTCCCGGTGCACTTCTGTACGCGCGCGTGCGCTGTATGGTGTCGACGTCTGTCTGTTTCTCATTGGTGCTCTCTGGTACCGTTGAAGCCAGAGGGCCCGCGTTGCTGTGAGACCCTAGGGGGATTCCGTGGATCTCACAATCAGAGGCAATGCTCTCAAAATTGCTCGAGGGCTCGCCTGTTCGGGAGAGGTTGCGCGGTGTGAGAGGGTGGCATGGAAGAGCACGAGCTGACTGAACAGCTGTGCCTGCGTCGCATTGCCATATCTTCTGGGTGGGGAGTGGGTTGATACTTCAAAGCAATTTTGTGCCTCGAGGGAGTAATTACAAAAGATTGTCAGCTAACTGTCTATGTAGCCGCCCATTTCTCTCGTCGAATCGGACGTAACTAAATCCGGGATGACTACTTGCGGACTGTTTCTTCGGCAGCATTGTTTCGCTTCTCGTACGATTATTTTCGAATTTTCATAAACGACTTTAGAAGTAGGCGAGAGACTGTTCACGAAGCCCCCTTTGTCCCTCGTGGTACTGCTGCCATTGTCTTTCAGCCGTGAGCCAAGATTCGCTTCACAACTGTCTTTTACTCGAGCTCTGCACAATTCAGCTCGAACACAAGCTCACGGCTCTTGGGGCAAAACGATGATCAGCCAGTTACGAGAAAGAGCTTCCTTTGGTACGCGCGTCAACCATTTCTCTCGTGGAAACCAAGGTGTTACCAACAATGTTTGATTTATTCCGAGGGAAAGAAAAAAACTCTTTCCGGCAAAAGCGAACGACTGCCTAATGTTTGGGTGTTTGTCCCATCTACTCTGGCGCCGGTTTACAGGCCTTTCGGCGTACATACCCGACGTGTTAGCCGAGGTCACACAAGAGGAAGGTCGCACAGGAGCTTCTGTCTTCATTTTGTTTTTTCTTGTTTTGTTGCCCCACCGTTCCTATGCACACAAGGTGTATTCACCACCTACAGCAGTGGCACGTTCGTTGAGGCAACGACTAACAGCAGCCCCCTCTCCCCCCCACCGCGATAAAAGCTGAACCACTATCCGCCGATAACAGAGACCAAAAAAAGGGGGGGTTGCACTAAATAGGTAATGTTGGCGTTCTCGCGTTCTCCCGGCCTACAGGGGCACGGGTGTGTCGCTCGACGACGACAGGCGGGCAGGAAATCTACGACGCATGTACCACACACAGCTAAGCACCAGGCGAAACACACATCATTCCAAGACGTCGTGGCCATTTACTGTGTTCTAACGACACCTAACGACACCCCAAGAGTGTCGGCTAATCTCTCCAAAGGACAGCGTCGAAGAACTCAGGTGGCACACCCTCTGCTGCAAAAACGTCCCCTACCGCTAGGCCGCTGGAGGGCAAACAATAGCAACACCAAAACATATCTACCTTCATGCCTCTGTTTTGAGCGAATTGCTCAGAACGGTACTCGGACTGATCCAGGGTTTGCACGCACAGGAAGACGCCCTGCCCCCCACGCCTCAACCTAACGCCTTACTGACTGCAAAAACTTCTGGTCCATCCGGGCTTCCAAGTCCCGAGAAAGAAGGCTCCTTTCGGCCCTGACATCCCTCAGCCCCCCGCTGCCTGAACCGAAAGCCTTTTTAACAGCGAAAACTTCTTATCTATCCGGGATTTTAAGCCCCAAGATGGGGGGGCTCCTTTTGGCCATTGCATCTCTTGACGCCGCTAATTTCCTGCGGTAGGCTTGAGCCAGAGAAAATGGGCAGCCAGCTGAGTCAACATTTTTTCTTCTCCCTCGAAGCACAACTTGCTCTTGAAGAATCAATCCACCCCCCCGCGCAGCACACGTGGAAATGCGACTCGGGCAGCGACAGCCGGGCGTGACTGAGCGGAGGAGTTCCTCTACGGTATTGTAGCCGGAAGTGCACGGCTTGAGACAAAAACCAAAAACGTTTCCTCGAGATTACGTCAAAAGCAGAATAGCGGCCGAACGTGTAGAAAGACTAGTCCACACGTATTTTCCTGTCAAGTCTTTTCATTCTCTCCTACTAATATTTCGAGCCACCGAGGCCAACCAACTTTCGGTAGTCACTGCGGCATCCAAGCTGGGGTCACACAGTCTTGAGAAAATCCGTGGTGTTGCCTTGCCCTGGTGAATTGTAAAGGAGGAACATCAGCACTTAATCTCGTCTCTCTCTTTGCCAACGCACAGATATCCAGTCAACTTGAGAATAACGCGGACGCCCAATCACCTTGAGAATTAACACGGGCGTCAAATCACCTTGAGGCCACAAAAAAACTTGAGAATAACGCGGACGCTCAATCACCTTGAGAATTAACACGGGCGTCAAAATCACCTTGAGGCCACAAAAAAACTTGAGAAAAACGCGGACGCTCAATCACCTTGAGAATTAACACGGGCGTCAAAATCACCTTGAGGCCACAAAAAAACTTGAGAATAACGCGGGCGTCCAATCAACTCGGTGTCATACAAACAATAGCACTGGAGAAGGTATTTTTTACAACGCAGTACTTGGTAGATAGCGCTATCCCTCTTTGTAGTCCTCGTCCATGACGTCTTCCATCATCTCCTTCAGCTCCACCCTGCCAACGAGTCATCGGCACGGTGTACGGGGAAAGAGACAAACGACGGCAACAACGACGACATGGCCGACAAGGACAGCAAAACAAACAAGAAAATTGCTAAAGACACGCAGTGCAAAAAAAAAAATCGCGGCAATCCACCACACAAACCAACAGCAACGAACAACAAACACAATGAAGTGTTCAACAACAAACATACTCCAGTAAACCACACCCGGAGATTACAAAAAACACACTAAATTGTAGTTTGAAAAAAACATGTTGGGTTTTCGGAAGAAAACTATATACCACTCCGGAGTGAGTGTTTATGTACCGTATTTAAATGTACTTTGTTGTAATATTATTGAAGGATTTTGTATATTTGAAGGAGAAGTCATCACCGTCAAGATCAAAGATAAGACAGACAGACAGGAACGACGAAAAAAAAAAAAAATGCGCAACCACTTTTAGACCGTGTCGCATTCGCGATTTGACCGAGGTAGCTCCCGCGTGTACCTGATCTCGTTGACGTCGTCCCCTCTGAGCACGTCTCGCACGCACCGGCAGGAAACCTTCATCTGTACCATCTCTAGGGCACCGCGAATTACCCCGCAAAGTAGGTTGGAGTAGAGGAGCCCGCTGTACTGAGGAGGGAGTTCCACGAATTCTGGCGTTTTAGCGAAATGGGGCGCGGGGAAGAGAGGTCGAAGATTCAGGATGGCAGAGAGACACACACAGGGAGCGGGGGGAGGGGGAGAGAGATAAGAAAGAGGGGTGGGAGGGGGGAGACAGAGAGAGCGATAGATATAGATTGAGAGAGAGAGAGAGAGCAGATGCATAATCTACCGGCGGGGCGGGGCGGGGCCCTACCGGAAGGGACGGGACTCTACTGCCCTCCTCGACAACGCAAGGGAACCCTGCGAGCTCGCTCGCGGCCTGCCGCAGATTGCGAAAGATATCACACACACACCCTGAACCGATATTCAAAGCTCGACTTCTGGCAGGAAAAGCAGCGACGGTGCCGAAAAAATGGCAGCTTTGGAACCGTTTCGTCGAGAGCTTTCCGACAACGTATCCTTTGATTGCACCATCCTCTTCGCCGTGGAGTAATGAAGCTTTGAAAATCGTCCCAGGGAGTGTGGTATCTTCCGTCATACAACCTACCGTAGGTACGACCACGCTGTGCGATAGTACACACACCGTGACATGATCATTTTTTTAGGGTCCTCGCGCAAGCAAACTAACTCGCCTATGAGGGGGTTGTCGTACAGGAGCAGGCTGAACGCCGTCCCGTCGCCGTTCCAAGACGAAACGTCGGCCGTTACCCCCAGGAACATCTTGAACGCCACCTTTCGCGCGGACAGAAAAGCATCGTGCGCACGCCGGGGGGGGGGGGGGGAGGGTTGCTTCGACCAAGCTGCTTGCGTCATTCAGCCGTCATTTGAGAGAGACCGTTCAGACCACCACCTCGAGTAGACAGACCACTACTAATAGCACCGACGGCACTTCAATCAAAACCGGGTGCGTGTTTGTTTTGTTGCCGCGCAACGAATGAGCTTGCGTGATGCTAACCTTTGCGACGACATCGGCGGTCTCCTTGAGGTCGGTGCAGGGCGTCGAGACCCCAGCCTTGGCGAGGAACTCGTCGATCAGCCGGACCCCGATGTTGTAACCCCTGTTTTTTCGGTGTTTGGGCGATAATGGCGGGAAAAAACAAAACAAGCAAACGCCGAGAGCAAGTGACGACGGGGAAGCGAACGGGAAAAAAACTGGTAGAAGATTTTTTTTTTTTTTTTGAGTAAATGCGCACAGCAGTTCTTCGTACAAAACACTGTATGTCTCGAGGACGTACTGTACTTTTCGATGCCCTTGTCGTCGTCAAGTATCTGCACGTTGTACCAGTGCGGAGGTGAAAACAAACGGGGGCGAGAATGGTTGGCACCACAAGAGTGCTGGACAATTTAGTTGCAATGGTGGGCTTGATCCTGTTCATTCATTCTGGTCCATTTGGAAAGACTTCCGTTTTCCACCCCGATAACTTACACCAATGATGTCGCTTTGTCAAGACAGCCAGTTACAGCAGTAGCGCTGTCGATGTTCGTGTCACACGCAAAACACGCACACGAAGACGTTGATTGGCTGCCGCTCACGGATGAAACCGTAGCAATGTCTGAGCTGAGCGCTGCCGCAGCTCTGAAAGGGAATCCCGACAACAAAAAAACACGAAACGTGGAGAATTATATGATTCTGTTCCGAATTTATTCAGTTCCGACCGAAATTAAACCGCGGGAGTAGGGTCCCTCCGGCTAAGACAGAGGGGATACCATAATGGGCAATGCGTGTGTGTGTGCAGACACCGCGAGCGACCGGAGGAAAAACAAGGACACTCAACCAAACAAAAAAGGGGAAAAAAGCTCCTGTGTGACCCCAGCTGATGTGTCAGACGTATACTTCCACCGCAAGGCCCGCAGACAGGCGTCAGAATAGATACAAAGGACGAAAACACACACAGCAGTCGTTCTTCTTCTCACATGCTCTCGAGTTGCTTGTTGACCGCCCCTACATCCTCGAAGTCCTGAATCAGCTGCATCACCATGGCCCCATACGTAAGCGTGAACAGCTCCGCGTTCTGTAAAACCGACCCGAATCCCCGACCCCGACCCCCGGGAGCAAGAAAAAAGGCATCCAGGCACAGGAAACCCAGACGGTTGCAAAAACAAGGTGAAGTCATGGGAACGCAAAAAGGTACGGATGTCGTGCCAAAATTGCGATTGGTAAAGGGTTGCTACTGCAACACCCGGTAAAAAGAGTCCATCCTTCTCTAGACTTAGCTCCTCTATGCGGCACCGAAAAGTTGTTTATATTGCAACGCGGCGGGTGGGATAACAGCGTGGGGCGGGGCTCTTAACAAAGCGCCATGAGGTGTGTGTCTGCAACGGGCGTGCTGTCCTCGTCTGAAGCAAACCAAACCCTCAAGTTCTTGCAACTTAAAAAAGCTCCTGATCCAGCTCTTTCTACTGGTCTTCTTTTTTAGGGTCTGACCAGTGGCATGGAACGGAGCAAAGACTGTACGTACGGGCATCGGATGAGGGTTGTACAAATCCTGTGCGAAAAATTCTCGTCTTTATGTTGGGGACTGTCATTCATGTGTACTTGGAGGGGGGGGGGGTCGGGACCCCCCACTCTCTCCGTGTGAGCGCGGAGCGAGGGCATGATATGAAGACAAAGCGGGAAGCAATGTCAAGACAACTGTTGCGAGTGGCGCCAAGCAGGGAGCAGCGGGCCTGTTGCCCATGCCGTTGTAGTATTTGTCCCCCATTTACTCAAGCTTGGTTGATACGGGGAAGAAAAGACCACAAAGGGAAAAAGCAAGAGGCCCGCGCCTCCTTTGCTTGGTGCCACTCACAGCAGTTGTCGTACCATTGCTTGCTGCCTCCTCTTCATACTAGGCCCGCGCTCGCTCGCATGGAGAGAGCGAGGACGGGTCTGGGGTACTTGTAGCTTTCCCCAGCGGGATGCTACGTAGAGACATACAGCGGCACCCGGGACCTGACGTCCCAATCCCTCTCCAGCGACGTCAATACCGTTGCCAACGAAAGTACTGCTGAAGTATGGTAAGTTTTCACGCAGTGCTTTTACGATGCCCATATACTAGTTGCTCCAACACAGAACAAACCTCCTTGTTCTCGTTGCCGCTGACCAATCCTCACCCCCCCCCTCCACAAAAGTTCGGAGTGCCACCTCAAGAGGGTGCTGAATAGGGCCGGCAATCGGTTTCTTACCTAATTCCAAGATGCTGCTTGGCGGCAGGGCATCGAAAAAAATGCCATTTCGGGCTAAAGGAAGTTTTGATGCACGATGCTAAATAGGTCGGGGGACATCATGGAGGACCGCCTTAAATCAAGTACTATACATACAAGGAACTAGAACAGGTAGGGGGGACGCAGACCGTATTCCCTAACCCTAACCCTAACCCAACTTCCCCTATTGTATCCTTTATCCAACATGTTTGCTGAATACAAAAACCTTGCGAAGGCTACTGATCATTGACCAGCGACACGCGGGTTGGCACGCCCCATATCTGTTGCTGCTTGGGCCAACCCGGTGTTCTACCCAAGGCTGCAGGTGCGGTTCGAAGAAAAGTCCTCAAAATCTGGGTCCGGACAAAAGTTTCACGACCAAACGCTGTATTCACACGCGCCGCCATAGATTCATTCCCTCCAACTGCTCGTCTACAGCAGTGCATAGTTACCGAAGGTTGCATAAGAAGATAGATAGCACACCCCGTGGACCGATTTTCAGAGCTCGACTACTAATGTATGAATCTACGCCATCTACGATATCTACGATCGCGGGGACCGCCTACGCAGGATTTTAAGAGTATAGAAAATAATAGGGAGGGGGCACGCAGACCCTATCCCTAACCCCAACCCTAACCCCAAAGCACGGATTGAATACTTTATCCCATATATTTGCTTAAATCAATTGTGCTGCGTGGACTACTGGGTTGCACGGATTGAATACTTTATCCCGTATGTTTGCTTGATCAATTTTGCTGCGTAGACTACTGGGATTACTCTGCCAGCGACGACAGCAGTGACGGTGCCGAAAATGGCGGCGTCGGAATTGCCGCCTCGTCACGAGCTTTTTTCCTTAAAATGCAACATTTGATTTCTGCATCCTCTTCGTCGTGGAACAACAGTAGAGGCCTGAAATTCGGTCCAGGGGGTGTGGTATCTGCAATCTAAGGTAGCTACTGCTGTAGCTCCCCGCACGAGGGCTACAGCAGTTGGGCACGAGGGCTACAGCAGTTGGGGGGGATTGGGTCAACGAAGGCGCGTGCACCAGTGGATCGTGAATGGACCTGACTTGCGGAGTCTTCGGACCGCAGCTGCAGCGTTTGACGGCACGGCTCCAGTGACAGACCTGGGCGCGCGCCACGCAAATGCCTCTCCTCCATGATGCCCTCTATTTTCGTTGTACACATCGTCCACTGCTGTACTGCTGTAGTTGCCGAGGAGGCGGGACTCGGCGAGCTCGGAGGTTGTTTTCCGTTTTTTTTATCTTTGGATTGAGAGAGGCACTGAAAAACAGGGGTTGCTGACAAGACAAGCAAGCCCTTGCTGAGCACTCTCCAGATGTGCTGCGTAGTAACCTCTAGTCCTTTCATGGTTTCATACTTGTTGGGAAAAATATCGTCTCCCCTGTGTGCTTGATGTTGTGTAGGTAGGCTGGAACCGGAGGGACCAGTTTGCATGCACCCTATCGCGAAGATGGCACCGGCAGCGGGAGCCGTACAGCGGAACAAATCGGAAATTCGTACCTGCAGAAATACACACTGCTGTTTACCCCTGATGACTAGGGCAGCCTGGCTAGACTAACCAGGACATGACGTAGGAAACTTGAACCTGCAGAATGGGATACTTGTTTGCTGCTGTACACGGCGGTGCCAGCGACTGCAGTACAGCAGTATCTTCGCAACACTGCTTGCTGTGTTGTACGATGTTGCTTCATTGACTTGCAGAGACATGGTTGTCGTCCCCATTGTCGTTACCCACCACTTTGCTGATCTTCCCCCAAGCTTGCTCCCCCGTCCGTTGGTGCGACTTGCTGCTGGTAGCCATGACGGACGCGTGTACAGCCTTTATCCCACTGCTGTCACTCTCTGTGCGGCAGGGCCCACTGCAGCACGCCAGACTCTGTGCAGCCTGCAGCACAGGGCAGAGGGGCCAGCACCGGGGGGTAAATATTCTCTCTTGCGTGCCCCCCGCTAGACATCGTCAAGACATCGTACATCACTGCAGCCCGCCGCACTCTGCTCTTCCTCGCAACAGCAGGGGTCTGCGAACACGTTCTCAGGTGTCGTCTCCCGCATCGGTGCGCGGTGAGTGCGCCTCCTCCTGCTTTGGCGTTGTATGCTCGCATCGCAATCCGGCTCGCGTGCGCGTCAGCTACACAACCTTGGTTGTTACGAAAATGAAAAATTGAAGTTTCGCTCTGCTGCTGACTCGCAGCGAAAGTTTCTGCTGATGGTGCCTGTACACACACTCACCAACAGCGGTTCTTCGTGTTCCGTAGGACTTGGCGATGGCTGCAGAACGGAGACGGGGCAGTCCCGTAACCTACACCTATCGGTCCCTCCGCGGAGTGTTCACGGCGGGTCTAAAGGGCTTCTACAACACCGTAGAGGTGCGTGCGCTACGGGCTGTATGGGTGTGATTCCGAGCTGCTGAGAGTGCCCTGTCAAGTTGATGTTTGTCTGTCGAGCTCGCCGGCAGCGGAGAAAACCCTGTAGATGTCCGCCCGAGATTTCGGTCCCCTTTAGGCTGCACTGGCATGGCAGTGCTGCATGTTGTCTCGCCCTCAGTCTCCATGATGCTCATCCTTACGTATTCCGATCGAACCTCACAACATGTATTGAGTATTTTAGTTTCGCCGCATTTCTTTGAGATGGCAGCTGGTGAGGATTTGGAGCTACACACAGCAGTAGATTCCATAGCGGCACCGCAACATGAGGTTGTCGAAGCAGTTGATGTTCGGTGTGTGTCAGGACCCCAGGCCGAAACTGGTCGAGAGTAAACTGTTGATGTCACGACCTATGCACCTCGTGGTGTGCTCCTTGCATCATTTCGAGAACTCCAAGTATCCAGACAAATATCCGGAGATTACCTTCCATGGACTCAGGCCGGTTTGAATCTTCCATTCTGTATAGACAATGACGCCACCCACCGATTCGACTGCTGTGGTAAATGTCTCGAACGGCTAGTCTCCTGTGTGTGCACGTATGTATGCTATGTTTTCTAAGGCTCCCCGCTGCTCTCCGAAGCGAGTACAGCTGCTGTACAGTGCAGTGCGTGTTATGTATTTCACGGCATACATGGTGTATTTCTATAAGGTGAGTTGTATGACGGCAGCATGTTGTTATTCCGTAGACAAAGGAGGCAATCAGTGTCCATTCGAATCCGCTCGCATCCGAGCGGACATGTTCGATTAACTGGAGCTCTTCCTCCGTGAACTGGTATCCTCTGCTGTGCGCCATCCCAGCGTTGGTTTTATTTTATGGTTGTCCACTGTTCACCACCCTCATGCGCGCTACCTCTGTGCTGTCCATAATGGCAACGCTTTGGACAGCAAATGGCGTTACTGCTGCGTCCCCAAGAGATATCTCGGTGGTTTTCATACGGATACATTACAGCAAGGCCATGTATTTTATTCGGCCAGACTTTATGTTGCACACTGTATTTGGCAAGGAAACTGACCCAGCGTTGTAAGACCTACTCTCCCCGCCGCCGCCGCCGCCCGCTTACGGTCCGACCAACACAAGATTCCACGGTGTCACAACGCACATTTTTTCTTCCCATGCGCATATTCAACCCGAACCCACCGCATCCTTGCATGTGCGCCATGGTTATTCAGCTCTTGTTGTGCGTTCAGACCCCGTTATGCATACACCAAATCGCCCGTTAGTAGCTTCTTTTCTGTGATAGGATTTAGATGTGTACACGGAACATTGAAGAGAATGATTCCTTCTAGAAGGCGCGGAGACATGTAACTCCCCGCGGAAGGACAATATAGGGAACAGGATTCTCGTAGCCCCTGCT